ATCTAGTTTGTGGGTATAGGCACTCTTTTTGGCCTTTGTGAATGCCTGGGACTTTTATCTTTATTCCTTTCTGTTACACTCCTTTAATATTGGGGTTAGCTTTCGTTATTCATGCTTTATTTATTTCCTTTCCGTCAGAGAGCATAGTTTGTGGTATGTGACTCTTGGTAATTTTTCTGTTTGTGTCCTTATTTAGTTTTGTAAATATACCACTTTTGCATGAAAAGATTTATTCTCTGTTGGATTTAGAGTTTTATTTAGTAGAGTTTTATTAGTTAATACTAAGTGTGTTGTTCAAATCTTCTGTGGAGATACTAGTCTTGCCTCTATTAAATAGGAAACAGATGTATAAAATCTACCACACAATTTGTTTCTCCTTAGAAATTTGTTGGTCTTTGCTTTTTATATTTTGAAACTTTTCATGCAAATTTGGAATTAAAGCTTCCTGGTAAACACAACCTTTTATCAAAATACATTGACCCTCTTTAATTGTAGTAATTCTTGTCTTAATATTTGCTTTCACTTTTATCAAGGAATCAACATTGGTATTTTTGGTTGGTATCTAAGTGATATATTTCATTCCTTTAATCATTTTGGGTTAAAATTTTTGTTCTTAGTAAATACCTTAGTATTTGTGGGTGTCTTAAAATGCAGTGTGATTACAACTATCTCTTAATTGAAGCATTTAATTCATTAACTTTTTTTTGTAAATACTGTGTGTTTATATTTATTTTTATCACCTCATTCATCTTTATTGGGGTGCTTTTCTTTACTCATTTCTCTTAGCATAAACTTTTCTATATTTCCCTCTTCCAGTGGTTCAAAGTTTTGCATTCTGTTATTACTCTTTTAGTGGTAACTCAAAAAATTTCACTAGTATACTAATCTTAAAGTCAGAATTGATCAGTATTTCTATCATCCTTTCAACAAAGATCTTAAAATATTCTTTCTAGCATTTGTTTCATCTTTGACATTATTGCCTATTATTTTACTTCCTCCTGGTTAGTGACCTTTTGTGTTTAGTTTTTTTTTTTTTAAACATTCAGTATTCATTTAGATTTACCCATGCATTTTCATTAAATCTAAATGAATACTGAATGTTTTTTCACTTCTATATGAGTTTATTTCTCCTCTTTCAGAAATCTCTTATATTTTTTTGAGTTTGAGTGAGGTTTTTCGAGTTTTAAACTCTAAGGATGTTAGAAAATGCCTTTTCTTCATTTTCATGTTCATGTTACTGAACAGTACTTTAGCTGAGTATAGAACTTTAGATTGACTATTATTTTTCCTTAGTTTCAATATAAAGTTGCATTGTCTTCCTGCTTCTATTGGGCTAATGAGAAGTCTGCTGTTAGTTTTGATACTCTTGTATAGGTAATTTTTGTTGTTTTAATATTTCCATTTTGTTTTTGGTGTTAGGATGTGTCCATGTGTAGACTTGTATTTATCCTGCTTGAGACTCAATATGCCATTTTTAGTCTGAAGATTTTAGATAGTTCGTAGATATTATTTTTTTGAATATTATACATTTTCTTCCTGGAACTTCTTAGGTAGTCTGTTATCCTTATCTTTATATTTTCCATCTTGTTCTTATTCTCTGTCTTACTTTTGAGTAATAGCTTCAGTTCTGTGCTCCAACTTCTCAGTTTCCTCCCTTTGTCCTTTTTTCTCTTCCTCCCATTTCTCAATTTATTTTCCCTTTCCCATATATCCCCTCCCCCTTTTTTGGGAGCCTAATCGTGTATTATTTATAATTTACCCAGCCTAATAGTGTATGATTTGTAATTTATCCATTTGTGTTTTTAACCTCTCCCTTGTTTTTTTGTTTTGTTTATTTCCTACCCTGCTTTCCCCCACTATATAAATTTAGTGAACTGGTGATCAAAAATATTTTGTAGAAGAGTTTTTATTTGCTGACTAGTTCATTATAAATAGATAGGGAGTCAAAAGGAAATTAGTCTAATTTTGATTCAGTATCTTTTTAGCAAGTATGTAGTTACCAGGCTTTCCTAACATGCTGTGTGAAAAGGAAATCAAGAGACTGTCTTGGCTCCTAAATTAGGTCATAAAATCTGGAGTTGATTCATGTTTGCTTTTGCTTTGTTTTGATTTTTTTGTTTTGCTTTGTTATTCTTTCATTTTCTTTCCTCTGGAACATTAGTTGCATTTGAAACATTAACTTCAGGAAATGTAGAGCTAATTATAGTAGCCTATTTATTCTAATTTCATAGTCTTTGTTACTCTAAACTACTGTGTGGGGGAAAAATAGAATACTTTTCCTGTTTTTCTCAGTTGTATATGTTTTTATTTTGAAAGTCTATAAAATATGTTTAGTATTTGATGACTTCATATCTTCCTATGGCAGATAATAAATTACTAGTGTTCTATTCCTATTACACTGGAGGCTGAATAACATAAGGTTAAGAGCATGGGCAGTGGATCCAGGCTGTATTGTTTAAATCCCTGTCTCTGCTTTTTACTAGTGGAATTACTTAAACTCTCTGTGCCTGTTCCCTCATCTATAAAATAGGGATAATAATAGTACTTATTTCATAGTGTCATTGTGAGAATTATAGGAATTCAGTTCTGTAAATCACTTACAAGAGTGTCTAACATATAGGAAACATTCAGTTTATGTTAGCCATTATGTTTTTCTAGTTCTGTGAAAAGTCACACAGGTAGTGTTACTGATAGGAGTAGAATCTGGGTGTTCTGATTCCAGTCTAGATGAAGCAATGTTTTACCTGTCAGGAGGTTATGCAGTCTTTTCTAGTATAAAAATTTGCAAGCTAATAAATGAATCTAATAAAGTTAAAATAACTTGTTTTATCAGTAGTAAAACATATTTGAGTACATATGGGCTGAGCACTGTGTTAGGTTTTGGGAATACTAAGGTAGACACAGCTTATATTCTAAAAAAGCTATAGACTAGTCCTGGAAAGAAGACAAAAAACCATGTGAAACAGTTATTTCCATAAGATAGAAATGTGGAGAATCCAAGGGAATAGAGAGGAGAGGGCATCCATCCCTTCCTTTGGGAGGGTGAAGCAAAGGGGAAACAGTCTTGGAAAATTCCATGGACAAGATATCACTAAAAAAATCATTATGATTATTCACAGGGTAAGGTAGTACATGAAAGAGAGTTTAAAGGGCTATCTATATGTTGTTCACTATTTAACTTTATTCTGAAATCTTCTATTGAGCTTTAGAGCATTTCAAGAAATTAACTGATATTTACCTTTGAGTTTCATAACAATTAGTAGTTTATTCTCATCTCACTTCCAGCTTCAAAAATCTTTTTTTTCCAGTGCCTTTTACAAATTTATTTTTCATTATAAAAGAAATACGTGCTTTTAAAATTTTTTTAAGGATTTTATTTGAGAGAGAGTGAGAGAGAGAGCACGAGCAGGGGGAGTGGCAGAGGGAGAAGGAGAAGCAGGCTCCCCACTGAGCAGGGAGCCTGGTGTAGGGCTCGATCCCAGGACCCCGGGATCATGACCTGAGCTGAAGGCAGACACTTAATCGACTGAGCATCCCAGGCGCCCCAGAAATAGGTGCTTTTTGCAAACAAAGTTGAATAATAGAAAATATTTATTAAAAATAAAAATTCTCTATTCCCCTTTTTCTTCAACCTTCTCAGTCTCCCTGAAAATAAACCAAACAACAAAATGCATAATATATATATGTCTGCATCTTGCTTTGAATAATAATTTGTCTCCTTTACTTTGCATTCAAGACATTTTACGACATTTTTCAAGGCTATTTTTTCAATTTTATTTTTATCAAAATGTTTTAGGCTCTAACTAAAATGAATTATTTTTTCTGTATCCTGTCATGCTTCATAGTTTCCTCACCTTTTGTCTTTGCTTATGCCTAGAATGCCCTTCACCACTTCATGTTCAAAGTCCTTTCTGTCCTTAAAAGTCTTTTCAAATAATAAATCCTCTGTTAAGCTTTCCTACTTTCCCCCCTCTTTTAGTTTTGAAAGTAATTTTGTGTTTCTAAGTTGCCATTATACTTTGTAACTTCACTTTCAGTACCTAACACTTTCTAATGTGCATACAGCTATATGTTTGATTTTGTGTGCCCTGGACTATAGTGACAGTTCCTTTAAAGCAATATTATCTGTATTTGAGCTTTGTAATACCTAAGTGCCTATTTATAAAGTCTCTTATTATGTACCTATTTACTGAATAAATGTGTTTTAGATAAGATATATAATTACTCTTAGGAATACTGTTTTTAAACTGTCTTGGGGATAAGTTGAGAGAAGCATAGCTGTGAGTTGAAACTAAAACTTGACTTCTTTCCTTGGTTTGGTTAAATATTCAAAATAAAAATTTTTTTTTAAGATTTATTTATTTGAGGGAGAGAGAGAGAGAGAAACAGCATGAGAGGGGAGGGGGTTAGAGGGAGAAGCAGGCTCCCTGCTGAGCCGGGAGCCTGATGTGGGACTCAATTCCAGGACTCCGGGATCATGACCTGAGCCGAAGGCAGTCGCCTAACCAGCTGAGCCACCCAGGTGCCCTCAAAATAAATTTTGAATAAATCTCTGAGACATTGTTTTGGTTTTTTTTTTTTTTTAGGAAACAAAGATTATGATAACCTGATTTAACCTGTTTTTTTTTTTTTTTTTAAGATTTTATTTATTTGAGAGAGAGAAAGCACACAAGTCGGGGGGGGGGCACGTGCAGAGGGAGAGGGACGCAGGAGCTGGATCCCAGGATCAGGACCCTGAGATCAGGACCTCAGTGAAGGCAGACACTTAACCTGACTCAGCCACCCAGGTGCCCTTTAACCTGTTTTTAAAATTAAAACTAAAATTTTTAAAAACTAAAGTTGTGATAACAAGGATATAAATGCATATCTCAAATATTTAATAGGATAAAATTTTAGGAGCAGTTCTTTGACTTTTTTGAAGGAAACTCGCCACTATGACTATTTGCTTAACATGATTTAACATATATGTAGTCACTAAAAACTTTTTGTTTCCTTTTCAGAGAATGCAGAGTCTATTGATCTTAAACAGTTTTTTGACCAACATTTTTCACATATATATTACGTGTTCTTTGAGAATTTTGTGACTATTGAAGCTAGTCTTAAACAGAAAGGTAAGATGTTATAATTGGTCCTGGCTTATGTTGATGTTTCAAACAATTGTCATAAGTATCCACTTAAAAATAGACTCTTGGACATTGGAATTTTAATGTTATTTCGCTTTTTTTTGTGAAACATCTTTTAGATACCCTTTCAAAGCATGGGTTAGTAATACTGTCTTCATTCTTTTGAGAAGGCTTGGAAGATTTGCTTTTTACCTGGTCAGATTTATTGACCTGTTTCCTCACTTTCTTTGCTCTGCCTTTAGATGCCTGTGAAGTTTGAGCAGTCATTCTCATATTTTCATTTTCAGAATTTATTCTAAGTTCTCCCCAGTCTATTTTTTTATTTGTTTTTTTAAAAAAGATTTTATTTATTTATTTGAGAGAGACAGTGCATGCACACTCACATGGGTGGGGGAAGGGGCAGAAGGAGAGGGAAAAACATACTCCCCACTGACCAGGGAGCCCCAGGCAGAGTTTGATCCCAGGACTCTGAGATCATGACCTGAGCCCAAGGCAGACACTTAACTGACTGAGCCACCCAGGCACCCTTCCACAGTATATTATTTGTTTTTAGATATAAATATGTAGAATCTAAATTTAATTGTTGAAGAGAATAGAGATGCTACAATATTATCTATACATTAAACAGAATATGCTTTAAACATTTTATTAAAGAATCCCTGAGAAAATACTTTAGTGCTTGAAATATTTTAAGCTTTTTAAATGGTAACAGTGAGGACAAAATGATAATAATTAAAATATTTTTCTGTAAAAATGTTTTAGGTCACAAGTCTCAGAGGGAGGAATTGGATGCTATACTTTTTATTTTTGAGGTAAGTATCTGCCAATCAACTTTTTTCCCCTCCAAAATAATTCTTGGAGGGAAATATATACAATATATACAAAGGAATATATTGAAACTATAAAATAGCATATATCAAAAGACTGAATTTGCTGTGCTTTCTAAGAACTGAATCACATTTTTTGACCTAAAAATATATCTGACTTAATTCTTAATTATTTTTTGAGATACATGTGTTGTTTTTAGGTAGAAGTAGAATTATGTTTTATACATTTGACACCACAAAATTGGTAATACTATAAAATAGTTAAGTGTTTTATAAATTATTTTTCTATATTACTTTGGATTGGGTTGGGACAAGTCTTTATTGTTAAATAAACAGAAGGAAGTAGCAACATTTGATGCTTTACTAAAATTTATATTTTGTTTTTGGCATACTGATAAAAATTAGAGTCCCCTCACTTTTAAAATAACTCCTTGCCTCTTCATTCTGTCTTTCAAATCAAGCAATGATAGGAGTATTCTGATCTTTAGCGAGAATTCAGAGATCTGGAGAAAGCCAGGATTAGATCCTGTGACTTGAAAGACAGTAAAGAATTTGGAAATCCATGTCTCAACATTGAGCTATTTTGTCTGTTGGTAATTAAAGATAATTCACTGTTTTATACTTTGGGTACTTTGATATGGTTTAGAAGAATTTGAACAATCTGATATCTCTCAGGTATTGATTTAGCTGTTGATTTTAGTCACAGTTAAAAAAAAAAGAATGTTTTGTTTTTGTTTTTTTAAGAGTTCTAGATGGAAGTAACTAGTGTTGGTACCTATTGTGCTGTTTATTTTCAGTAATCATTGTCCCTGAGGAATTGGCTTATGTTTATCTCTTCAGGTGTTTGCATGAACTATTTACAAGGGAAATGTTAAAACATAGATGTTTTGAAAAGAATGAAAGTATCAGCAGAAATCATTCAAATTATGTTCTCTAATATGGAATTAAATGAGGAAATCAATAACAAGGAAATTTTGTAAGTTCATAAATATGTGGAAATTAATGAACACATCCCCAAATAATCAATGGCTTACAGAAAGATAAGACATACCAAAACTTAGGGAATGCAGCTAACCAAGCACTCAGAGGAAAATTTATAGTTATAAACTTTATATGATAAAAGGAAGAATTATATCCCATCAATTACCTAAGCTTCCACCTTAAGAAACTAGAAAAAGGAGCAAATTAAACCTAAAGCAAGCAGATAAAATGAAATAATAAAGAAAATAGCAGAAATAAATGGAAGAAAGATTTAAAAAATGGAGAGAACCAACAGAACTAAAAATCAGTTCATTGAAAAAGATCAAGAAAACTAATAATAGTTACCTTACTAAGTAAAAAGAGTGAAGAATTAAATTACTAAATTCAGGAATTAAAAAGGAATATCACTACCAACTTTATAGAAATTGTAAGAAAATACTATGACCAACTGTATGCCAACAAATTTGATATATAAAATGGAAACGTTTCTATAAAGACAGAAAGCAGTGAGATTTAAAAAGAAACAGAAAACCTGAAGCTGTTAGAACTAGTGAAAAAATGAATTAGTATTTAAATAAAATCCCACCAAGGAAAGCCCAGACCCAGATGACTTCACTAGTGAATTTTAACCAGACATTTAAAGAAAAATACCAGTTCTTCACAAATTCTTTAATTAAAAAAAGATGATATTTCACAGTTCATTCAATGAGGCCAGTATTACCCAATCAAAACCAGACAAAAACAAGGAAAGAGAATTATAATAAAATATTTTCATGAGTATTGACACACAAAAATCCTAGAAAAAAAAATAAACCAAACCAAGATACATATAAAAAGGATTAAAAGGATTATACAACATCACGAAGTGGGATTTATCTACTAAATACAAAATTTAACATCTAAAAATTAACCAACTAGTGTATAATAATAAAAGACAAAAAAATGCATGTTATTATCAATAGACAAAGAAAAAGCATTTGGCAAAATCCAATACTTTTTCATGATAAAACACCTAACAAAATGGGAATAAAAGGAAACATCGTCAGTTTGATGTAGGACATCTATAAAAATACACATTCAAGACCATACCTAGTACTGGATACTGAGTGCCTCTTTCTTTTTTAAAGATTTTATTCCTTTTTTTGACAGAGAGAGACACAGCGAGAGAGGGAACACAAGCAAGGGGAGTGGGAGAGGGAGAAGCAGGCTTCCCACCGAGCAGGAAGCCTGATGCAGGGCTCAATCCCAGGACCCCGGGATCATGACCTGAGCCGAAGGCAGACCCTTAAAGACTGAGCCACCCAGGCGCCCCTGAGTGCCTCTTTCTTAAGATTGAGAACAAAAGAAGGGTATCCAGTCTTGCCATTTCTATTGAATATTGCACTTGGTTCTAGCTAGCCAGGGAAATTAGGCAAGAGAAGGAAATAAGATTGAAAAAGAAGTTAAAAAAAAAAAAAGGTATCCACAGAGAAGGCAAGATAATAATTTCTGGAAAGTGTTCCTTCAGACATTCATGCTTGCCCTATGTCCAGGAAACTGAGGTGGATTGATTAGTTAATGGAAGATCTTTCAGGACCTTCCTTCTGTTAAAAAATAGTGTTTATTTTCCTTTATGTAATATATACTGATGAATTGTTTGTCTTGAATGACTGAATTTTCTTAGACTAAAAGATGTTAGATACAGGGCTTTCATCTTTTGGAAGAAATATTTAACCTTTGTGCTGATGTTTTTTTACTTATAAAGGGGACAGTAATATCTGCCTGACCTCTACCTTTAGAGACTAATGATGATTTTTAAAAATCAAGAAATTTATAAATTAACTGACTTCCTGTTTTTGGAATAAAAAGCATCATTATGTAGTGTTAATAATATGATGCAGGATTTATAATCTGTTTTCTTCTGTAAGACTACACATGGTTTCTTTCATCTTTATAGTAACCACATAAAAATAAAGACATATTTATTTACATTTTATAAGAGGTTAAATCTGAAGTATAATAGTCATAATTTAGGAATGTTTCTGAGTAGTTTACAAACTTATCTTTTCAACTTAGGATTTTATCTCTTTCCACACCAAAATAAATACAATTATACAATTGTTGGCTAGAGAACTTTGAGGAGGGCAATGGTAAAGAAGTTTGTTTAATTCATGTAAAATTTCTTCATCATTCTCTTGTATGAGATGGACTAATAAGATCATATCAAGTGGAAGATGGGTGTAAAACATGCATACTATCTTTTGGGGCAGAATAGTATAAAAGTACACATTTTGGAATTAAGCCTATCAAGATTGGAATCAGTTCTTCCACTTTCTAATTTAAGCACATTACTTAATCCATTTTCTCATTTTTTAAATGAGATTAATAAACTCTCTCTTTAGGATGGTTCTGAGGATTTTTTTTTTTTTTTTTTGGAGGATGGTTCTGAGGATTAATGAATTACCATTATATATAAAAGTATCTAGTGTTTGGCCCTTGTGAACACTTTGGTTCATGGCATTTCTGAAGTATAACGGTACAGTAAGAGAGCAGTAACAACAAACTCACACACAAAACTCATTCGGCAAGTGGGCGAGTACTGGGAGCATAGGTCAGTAGCATAGGAAGGCAGCTGTTGAACTAGAATAATTCACACGGTACAAATTTGTAAAGGGAATGAAAGGTAAAATTTTGAAAGTGTTATATGTAAAAAGTGTTTACTTCCAGTTATTGAAAACCTGTATTAGTTTAACTGTAAGGATCCTGAATTTTTTAATATTGTTCTTATACCTATAGCCATTGTAAATATAAGTACCTTTGGGTTCACATGAATCAAATCAGTACAAATATTTGATGTGATTTTTGTGAAATCAAAATATTTTCCCTACTTATATCAAAACAGGAGGAAGAACTACTCAAAGTGAGACAAAATGTCACACAAATAGTAGTATCTGAAAGAATTCAGAACTTATCGGTAATATCCACAATATGGAAATTCTAGGAACAGTAAATGACCATTTTGAAATATGCTAGAGTTTGTTATTTATTTATTTATTTAAGATTTTATTTATTTATTTGACAGAGACACAGAGAGGGAACACAAGCAGGGGGAGTGGGAGAGGGAGAAGCAGGCTTCCCACCGAGCAGGGAGCTCGATGCGGGGCTCGATCCCAGGACCCTGGGATCATGACCTGGACTGAAGGCAGACGCCTAACGACTGAGCCACCCAGGTGCCCCTAGAGTTCGTTATTTAACCCATAAAGAGGAATATACTTACTTTTCACATCATTGTAAAAGATAAATTTCATTAATGTCTTGTTCCAACTCTTCATTAGTATAGCTTGTTGGGTTTTGTTTTTGGTGTTTTCAAATATTGATCAGTGTGCCAGTGCTGAAATACTGCAAGTACTGTCAGATTAACTCAAATACTGTTTTGTGTTTGTGATACTATCTTTTACACAAGAAACTGTTAAAGGCTTATTATAAGCTCTTTGTTTAATTTTTCACATTGCACAGAATGTGGACTCATTACTTGCTTTTCATTCTTTGTTTTATTCATACTGATTTTTAGAAAATTTTACAACTTCTTCCAGAGAGAATTCATCAGCGATGGCAGTTTCATAGTATTGGTAAGTGATTTAAATATGTATTTCACATTTGACATACATGGTAATATATGAAAATGCTCTGTAGTGGGTTAGTCATTATTTGAAATGAATTTCTAGTTTATGTTTTAGTAAAAACAATATAAAGAATACAGGACTATACTTAATGGGAGTATGAGATAAAAATGTAGATGAAGGATTTCCAGTCAAAATGGCATATTAAATTTCTTTAATCTGTCTGTTCCTTTACTTTAGTAATGATAAAACTAAAAAACCAAAAAAATAAAAGGCTCAGCATCAAAATAAACATCTCAGAATCAGAAATGGAAGAGAAATGTAAAGTGCCAAGTAGAGTGAATACTTGGGCTCCAGATTTGAAAGCAAGCAGTGTCAGCCGGCAGTTTGCTCCACAGAAAATAGTGAGGGGCACTAGAGTTAACCTTCTTGCTTGAAGGGCCAGAGGAGAGCTTGCCAGATCATGGAATGAAGCCAAAAAGGAAAAAGGGCAAAAAAACCCCTGCTGTGGATTACTGTCAGAGACTAAGTAGGGAGGAGATCATAGACTTTCTGTTCCCAGGAACTAAGCCAAGATGCTTGCCGGTTTGGAGTCTGGTCTTGTAACAATAACAATATCACCACAGGGCTCTTGAGCTCTTGTTCTCAGACATTTTCCCCCTCTGTGTTTAGAAAGGAGTCTGTAGGTAAGCATTGTTGGCTTTGGGTTGGGTGTCTCAGTGATGGCAGTTTTGATTGCTAATGATTCTCGTGACCCTTCTCATGGGGAATATGTGGATGGCCACCCTGTCTACATTGTTGAACTAGAATGTTACAGGCCTTATATTCATTTGTAAAACGTGTATTCGTTTCTTTTAAAAACAAAAGTCATAGATTTTACTTAGGCCCCACATTTTTTTAATCCATTATAGCAAGTGAAATCTTTTTGGACACAGTTTATAAATGGGCAAAGGATTCGAATAGACATTTCTCCAAGATATACAAATGACCAATAAGTACATGAAGAGATGTGCAACATCATTATTCAGTAGGGAAATGCAGATCACAACTCTAAGGAGATACCACTTCACATCTACTAGGATGACTATAAGCCAAAAAATAACAAGCATTGGTGAGGCTGTGGAGAAATTGGAACCCTCGAACACTGTTGGTGGGAATGTAAAATGCCACAGCTGCTTTGAGAACCAGTCTGGCAGTTCCTCAAAATATTAAACATAGAGCTCCTCTATGGCCCAGCAATTCCATACCCAGATATACCATACCCAAGAGAAAGGAAAACATATGTCTGCATAGAAATGTATACTCTAATGTTCATAGCACCATTTTTCACAAATTACCCAATGTCTGTTAACTGATGGTTAGATGAGTAAAATAAGTTTTATCTTAAAAAAAGAGAAGTCTCTTGTGGGGCTTTGAAACTATAAGTTTTCAAAAACTTTTATAAGTTTTATTTATTTGACAGAGATAGCAAGAGGGGTACACAAGCAGGGGGAGTGGGAGAGGGAGAAGCAGGCTTCCCATGGAGCAGGGAGCCCAATGCGGGGCTCGATCCCAGGATCCTGGGATCCATGACCTGCGCCGAAGGCAGACGCTTAACCGACTGAGCCACCCAGGTGCCCCTAAGAGTAGCTGTATTGAATTATAATTTATATAGGCAAAATTCATCTATTTAAGTAAATAATTTAGTGATAAGCCTTCCCAATTCCAGAAACAAAAGGAACTCTGGACATCTAGGAAGGATATTGATGCAGGGGCTAAAAAAGACAAAATCCTAAATAGTAGTAAAGTCTTTTAGAATGAACTTTTTGGATAAAGTTTGAGACTAAATATAACATACCCATTATATATAAACAATTCTTACAACTTGATAGTAAGATATAAGACAAATATTTTTAAATTGGCAAAATACTTGAATAGGCTTTATATCAGAGAAGAGATATGAATTAGTAATAAGCACTTGATAAGGTACTCAATAAAATAGTGAAATCCTGTTTTGTGTTTCATAATCATAAAAATGTCTTTGAAGGTTGTTTATGAAGAAAGTTTTTTTTGAGGCATCTGAACTTCAGAAGTTTATTGTATCTTCTAAGGAATGTAGCCTTAAATCTTCAAAAGAGCTTTAGGCTCTCTACTTGTCATGATTAATAATAATCCAATAAATGTCTAACTTTTAGAAGACACATAAGAGGTCATTTTTCTTTGTCATCCAGAAAAATCCTAAGACTGTTTTCTTTCATTTTTGTCTTATATATAAAGGAAACTAAATCAATGAATCTAGTTGATTTTTTAAAAGTAGCTTTTTTTTTAAGAATTTTTTAAATTATTTTTTGATGGAGAGAGACAGCGAGAGAGGGAACACAAGCAGGGGGAGTGGGAGAGGGAGAAACAGGCTTCCCGCCGAGCAGGGAGCCCGATGCGGGGCTCCATCACAGGACCCTGAGATCATGACCTGAGCCGAAGGCAGACGCTTAACTGACTGAGCCACCCAGGTGCCCCTAAAAGTAGCTTTATTTGAATTATAATTTATATAGGTAAAATTCACCTATTTAAGTAAATAATTTAGTGATTTTCCATAAATCTTTAGAGTCACCACTGTCTAGTTTTAGAACATTGCCTCACCCTGAAGTATTCCTTCAAGCCCATTTACAGTTAGTGCCTTTCCCAGCACCACAGTCTGCTTTCTGTGCTCAATAAATGTCTTTTTTTGACATTTCATATAAATAAAATCATGTAATTTATAGTAGTTTGCCTTTTGGCTTCTTTCACTTAGCATAATTTTTTTGTTTGTTTTCCATATTATAACGTATTATCGTTCCTTTTTATTGCTGTATAGAGTACTATGATATGGCTATATCATGTTTTATCTACTCACCAATTCATGGGCATTTATATTGTTTCTAGTTAATTATACCTCACTTATTCTGTTTGTTTTATTGTAGATTCCTTTCAGTTTTGTACATATAGGAACATGTCAACTGCAATTTAAGATAGTTTTACCTTTTTTTTTTTTTAAAGATTTTATTTATTTATTTGACAGAGAGAGACACAGTGCGAGAGGGAACACAAGCAGGGGGAGTGGGAGAGAGAGAAGCGGGCTTCCCGCTGAGCGGGGAGCCTGTTGCGGGGCTCGATCCCAGGACCCTGGGATCATAACCTGAGCCGAAGGCAGACGCTTAACGACTGAGCCACCCAGGCGCCCCGATAGTTTTACTTTTTTATTTCCAATCTGGTACCTTTAATTTCTTTCTTTCTTTTCTTTCTCTTTTTCTTTTTTTTCTTCCTTTCTTCCTTTCTTTCTTTCTTTCTTTCTTTCTTTCTTTCTTTCTTTCTTTCTTTCTTTCTATTTTTTCTCTAGTATAGTGTTGAATGAAAGTGGTGAGAGCAGACACTCTTGTATCATTCCTGATGTGTGGGAGAAAGCAGTTACTCTTTCACAATTATGTATGGTGTTAGCTATTTTTATAGCTATGACAAGAACCTTTATTATAGTATTCCTGGGAATAGCAAAAATTTGAAAACAAACCAAATGTCCTAACATAAATAAGATTAATAGTATGGAATGGAATTGTATACAGCAGTTAAAGTGAATTAATTAGAGCAGTATAGATCACTATAGATAAATTTCAGAAGCTAATGTTGGTTGTGAAAAGTTACTTAGGTAGGGGCCCTTGGATGGCTCAGTCAGTTGGGCGTCTGACTCTTGATTTTGGCTCAGGTCATGATCTCAGGGTTGTGAGCTTGCGCCCCAAGTGGGGCTCTGCGCTGAGCATGGAGCTTAGTTAAGATTCAGCAGCAACCCCAGCCCCCTGCGCCGCTTTCTTGCGCACTCTCTCTCAAAAAAAAAAAGAAAACTAACTTACAGGAAGGCTTGTTTTGTATATCATATATAAATGTAAGGTTTTTGTTTTTTTTTTAAACAATTAAACTTCAGACTTAATCAGATTTGGTATTCTGTTTATGTTCTTTTTCTGTTCCAGAATCCAGTCCACGATACCACAGTGCATTTAGCATGCATAGATTTTTTTAGGGGAGCTGATAAAAGACTGGGCTTTACCTAGTATTGTTTTAAGAAATTGAATTTGTTCAAACATTAGGTAGAGAATTGCAGATAAATCAACAGTTTTATTTGAAATATTAAAGCTTATTTTTGTATGACAAATGAAACTTAACCAAATAAAATCCAGGCTTGATCTGTGTGTGTCTGTGTAATCTTGATATTATTAGAAAGAATAAAAAAATAGGATTAGAACAAATAGACATGGAAGAAATTCTTGTTACTAACATAAGGTTTTAAATATATAAACCAATTCTAAATATTTTATTAATTTATAAATAATAACCCTAATATAAAAATATTTTGGAAATAATACCACAAATTTGGATAATATTTTTTTCTGGGGAAGGAAGGAGAATGATTTGACATGGTTTCAAAGGAGGCTTCAATGATACTTGTTAGATAAAACATCAAAAATAAGGTAAATAAATGAAATTTTGAAATTACAGGAAACATGGGACTGTGTTTAGATTGGTTTAGACCAAATAGCAGGTCTCTGGATGTTTGTTAATGTAATTTCAGTATTTTATTATAGAGTTGAAAAACTATAAATTATAAAGGAATATTAAAGATGGCTTTGAATATTCTGAAAAAGAAAGTACAATGAAAATGTTTGTTAGGAAATATTCGAATTATAGAAGTTCGTGTGGTTAACTAAATGGAAATTTCCTGCAGTGGTTTTTATTTTTATTAGTGATGCAGAAAGTATGTAATTATATTCTTAGTCTTAAGTAAGAGATATACAGAGATAATGTTGTAGTAAATGCAATTTTGGGATTAAGGTTTGTTTCAGTAGACTAAATCATGTTTAATTCCAATAGAACATGTGTTGAAAAGGTGACTATATGCCCTTCTAGTCCCAAGATTATGGCCAGAGGGATATCAGGGTCACCAAGAATAATTTGGAGGTTGCCAAGGACTTGTTTTAAAGTGTTTTCAAGTCTGACTGGGAACTCTGACATTTGGAAACAACTAAGAAAATATGAATATTTTAAATCATGTTTCCTTTTCAGGATTAATTTTGAAGAAACTACTCCACACAGGAAACTCCTTGAAGGTATAATTATATTTTTTTTCTATGACTTTAAAAAAAAACTGTCTCTTGTTCTACTTTTCCTACATCAACTTTTTTTCTAAAGAATTTTGAATTGTCTTTAGTTCACTTAGTTGAAGTGAATTGACTTAAAATAAAATATAGCAACATACTCAGTATGTGTGAAAATACATACTGGGTTGACCAGGCTATTGAAAAACTTTTGCCCCTGCATTGAGTGATTCACTAGAAATACTTTGCTCTCTGTTCCCCAGAAGACAAAAATTATTTACAAATTATTCTTTATATTACTATAACTATTCTTAGATGTAGGGAAAAATGATGGATCTATATTAAAAAGTTGACTTTATTTCTTTTTTCATTATCTCATTGTGCTCTGGTAAGAGAAGCTACCCAGTGCAAAAGCATCTTGTTGTAGGTTAAGTGAAATTTCATATTGTAGGTAGTTTTGGTGTCAAGGCTTGGTATATAGCAGTACAAAAGAATAAGCCTTCCTAATTGTTTTTTTTTTTGTTATCTCTCTAAACTGTAAAGGTGGCAGCTGTTGAACAGCTTTGACAGTGGCCATTTACCAAGCTGTGGTAAGGCAATTTCCAAAGCTACCAGTGAGATTAGCTTAGTGAAGAACTTTGTGTTTTGCTTGTCAGAGATTGAATGTTTTTCTGTCTTTTCCTATTTTCTTCCTGGGAGAGAATTTATGCATTGATTGAAATATTTGTTGTCTTCTGTATATGGGGTATTGTTCTAGGTACTTAGAATATAGTAACTGGTCAAAATTTCTGCTTTGCAGGTTAGCAGCAAATAATAAGTAGATGACATAATTTCAGAGAGTGGTAAGCTTTTTTAAGAACAAGAACATTGATTTAGCAGGGCACCAAGATCCCCATAACCATTCCACCTTTTACCACCAAAGTCACTGTACAGGGAACAGTTATTGCCCTCTTTCTTCTTGGTTCTTGGATTAGACCAGTGGTGTTGGGAAAGAGGGAAGTAAACAAGAAGGAAATAATTTTCTGATTTTTTTTTTTACCAATGGAAATTATAGAATAAAGATTACCTTATGGCTTTAAGTAGTTAGAGGCCAAGTTTATTCTGTATTTGTTCACAATCAATGAATTTAAATTTATAAATAATGAGGGCTCAATAAATGACATGGGTATAGTAGCCCTTCCTCTTTCCTTCCCTCCCTCCTTTCCTCCTTTTTCCTTTACCTCTTTCTTTCCTTCCTCTCTTTTGCAAAGTAACACTCTTCTAGAGAATTTTGGCCTTAAAAGTAGGAAAATACTTCCCTTATAAGTAAAAATACTGTTTTTCATTTTATTTATTTTAGATCAGACGGGAAGGTGTTCGTCTTTTCTTATTATGGTTGCAAGCTCTTCAGAATAACTGTAGCAAAGAACAGCTTTGGATGTTTTCATGCTTAATTCCCGGATTTTCAGCACTACAATCTGAACATGGACCTCGAACTTTAGATAATCTTATTAATCCTCCACTCAACCTTCAAGAAAGTAAGATTCACGAGATCTTATCCATCAGTATTTTAATATTTCCTGTGTAGTTTGTTAATGTATTTTTAAAATGTCCGTATGTTTATTAACTGGGTAATTCAAGGCCATGTTGTAAAATGTAGGTTTTATTATTTTTCACCTATGACGAGGCCAACAGATCAGAAGATGACTGACATAAAAAAATAGTTACAGTTCCCAAGGGGAGAGGGCATGCCACACCAGGGAGGGTGGCCACATGGGAAAGTACCAGGGTCAGTCAGGGGTAGGGCATCAAAGGCAAGAGCCCTTATTGTGATTTCTGTAGGTAGAAACATGTGAGGCAGTGTGAGCAGTCCTGTGATTGGCTCGTTTGGATAATTTCAGCAGGCTTAGGTGCATAGGAGCTGTCCCTCATTGTCACCCATGTACCTGGGTGATTAGGTCAGGGGAATAGTGGCCCTGAACTTGAGAGCCGGATAGAAGAGGGGTAGAGGTGTGGACTCTGGACTGGTTGGTTTGTGTATGGAAGGCATGTTCTCCGGCCCATCTTTACCATTTCTGGGAATTGGCTGGGGAGGGACATTCTCTCCCTGTCCAGCAAGGCTTCTGGTGTCAAGCATCAGAAACACATGCTTAAATAGAAGCCATTTTACATTTATCTTTTATTTCTAATTCTCATGTGTCATCTTGTATCCTTGAGTTAATTTGGATGTACATTGAAGTATAAGAGTATTTTACTTTGTGCCAAGAGGACTGTAACAAAACCTATTTTTGTGAGCTTAATTACTTTGCTAATATTTACTAAGAAACAGGTTTAGGAACCTGCCTATATCAAACTAGGTGCTGCTTAGGAAATATTTAAGAGAGTTCAACTAGTTGTTGGTCAGTTTTTTTGAATTTACATTTATTATAATGAATGTTTTTGAATATCGGAACATTTTAGAAAATGTAGAAGTTTCTTATTTTATACATGGACTTTTGTAATCAAGGACCTAAGATGCTATCCTTTCTTTTTGAGAGGGAAATAGCATTTTATTCTTTGACTAAAGGAGCTACCTTAAACAGTAAGCGTGGTCATTACTAGAGTAATAAGTCCTTTAGTTGATAAATAAGGTCGTTGTTGTTTCTCATCATACTATGGAATTTTTGTAATGGGCGCACTTAATGTAAATTTTAAAATATGAGTTTTTTTTCAGGTAAGATTCACTCTTAAGCTCTTTGTTATCTGTCCGTCCATCCCTGTCACATTCTCTCAATCAAGGGGTTATGAAACAGCTGATTATTAAACTTTATGGCTGTTGTGATGGGCTGTTAGGATGATCTCAAGATTTATTTCAAGGTTCAATCACTAGGACGTTTTCAAGCAGTATTCATTGCATATATGTCTTACAGTTAAATTTTATTTGGATCACATTATTTCATTGTTAAATTTGTTTTGTGATTATACTAAACTTTTGTCTCTGTATAGCTCAAGTTACTATAGAGGAAATCACTCCTCTTGTCCCTCCACAATCAGGAGACAAAGGACAAGAAGATCTCACAAGCTATTTTCTTGAAGCACTTTTAAAATACATAGTAATTCAGGTATGTGTTACCCTCTTTGATATCACTCCTCTTACTATCTTTGTGTGGGTAATTAATTTTTCTCTCTCTTACCATTATTATGTTAGAGTAGATATTTGCTTATTTTCTTGAAGGAGGACGAATTTTTACTTTTGAAAATGTATGTTAGTATGCCTTTTGTGAAATAAAAATCATTGGCGGGATTATGAGTCTCTTAGAAGGGGAGCTAGAGAGAGAAAATCTTGAAGTAGACTCTTTTATGTATATACCTTCCTCTGTGGGCCAGTTGGGTTTCCTTTCTAATCCTTTCCTTTATAATCAGTGGTTGTGGTCTTTAAGTAATAACTGTTTGATTTAGGAATCAACCTGCCAAGAGGCAGCCATTAGGGAGATAGGCTGAGAATGGGGTGTGGGTGGAGGAATGTAATTTACACTTTAACCTGTTTGTACTCTGTAAATTTCTACGTGAATGTATTTTTTGTAAGGTAACCTATTCATCTCTACATATGAAATGTGCACGCCCTGGTTGATGAAAACAATCTTAGCATATACACATTTCTTGTAACTATTCCAAACACAAAAATTCCCTATGCCTCAGAAACTAACATTAGAAAGTTAATTCGGACCCTGAATGAGATTGCCAAGGTTTAAATCTGATTCTACATTTTACTGATAGTGTCACCTTTGGTAAATTAACCTCTCTGGCTTAAAATAGACATAAAAATAATACCTATCCTATTTTGGTGTTTGAGGGTTAAATAATTAGTAAAAATACTAGAAGAAACAAATACATGACACAAAGTGTTCTGTGGGTGGTAGTTGTCACTGTCATTATCATGACCGGTTTTTCTTTTTTAAAAAACAACTTTTATACCTCATATAGATTTTTTAAATTGTTTTGCTGGTTTATTGAGATATAATTGACATATAGTAAACTGCAGTATTTGAAATATACAATTTGATGACACTTATTTCATGTATACAGCCATGTAACCATCACCATAATCAAGATAATGACCTGTCTCCCCTAAAAGTTCTCACATGCCTTTGTAATACATCCTTTTCCACTCCTAACCACTGCCTCATTCCCAGGCAACTGTTGATCTGATTCATGTCACTACAGTTTGCATTTTCCTTATTTTCATATAAATGGAATCATATGGTACATACTTTTTTTTTGGTCTGGCTTCTTTTTTCTATCATAATTTTTTTGAAAATCATCCATATTGTTGTGTATCAATAGTTTGGTTCTTTTTATTGCTGAGTAGCTTTTCATTGTGTGGATATAACATGCTTTGTTATTCAGTCACCTGTTGATGGTGATATGAGTTGTTTCCAGTTTTTGGCTATTACAAATATAACGGCTGTGAATATTGATAAACTAGTCCTTATGTGGACATAAAATTTTTTCTCGTAGGTAAATACCTAGTAGTGGAATAGCTGGATTGTAGAGTAGATATATATTGACTTGTTTAAGGCATTGCCAAGCTGTTTTCCAAGTGGTTGTACCTTTTTACATTCCACCAGCAATCTGTGAAGCTTAAAAGTTGCTTCACATCCTCACCAACAGTTGGTATGGTCAGTATGTAATTTTAGTTCTAAAGTGAATAATGTAGGGGCACCTATTAGGTGGCTCAGTCGGTCCTGGCTCGATCCCAGGACTCCAGGATCATGACTTGAGCTGAAGGCAGACGCTTAACTGACTGAGCCACCCAGGAGCCCCCGCATTTTTTTTTCAACTCCCTCCAAGTTGTTTAATAATAAAAAAGAAGATAGTACATATACATAAACCTGATCTCCCACCACCACCTTTACTCCCAGTGACTAGCTCCAAAATGTAAAAATGTCCCTTGTCCCTCCTGGGGACTAAATTCCCACCTCCACCCCCCCAATTAGAGAAACAAAAGAATAAAGAGTGTGTAGGAGGCCACCCACCCCAAAACTTCATTTCACTCAGTACCCTCAAAGAAAGAAGCAGAAATTAGGGGTTCAGAGAAATGAGAGGAGCCCTATATTCCAAGAAGGGGTAAGAAGGGAGGTGAACCCACTCATCTCCAATTAAGTACTTAACTCCACACCTTGTCTTTCCTTTACCAATTGCCCAAGCCCAGGGATCAGAGAACTTAGAAAAACCCCACTTGGTCATCCCCACGTCCCTCCCACTCCCCACCAGCTCTAAGTCAGTGTGAGTTGCAGGGGTCAGGGGTGATTGAGGTAGAAGGCCTGGTGGGAGGCCTGGTGGGCCTGGCCGGCTGCGGAAGCTGGCAAGGGACCACTTGTGGCATTGCTGGGGCCGAGGACGGCTGTTTTCGGAGTGAGAGGGACACCATGAAGGTCTTGGTATGAATCACCCTGGTGTTTGGCTCAGGTCATGATCTCAGGGTTATAGGATTGAGCACCCCATGTTGGGCTCCCTGCTCACAGGGAACCTCCTTCTCCCTCTCCTCCCTGCTCATGTGCGTGCTCATGCTCTCTCTCTCAAATAAATAAAATCCTAGAAAAAAATAGTGAATAATGTATAGTGGTATCTCAATGAAGCCTACTCTGGGCCTTTGCCATCCCCCTACTTAGCTATCTTCTTCACCCTATTGGAATTGTCACACCCTATATTTTACTGCTCTTTCCCTCTTATCCCCCACCCCCTTACTCCATGGACACTGTCCTCACCCCTCTTGGGCTCTAAGTCTCCCCTGGGCTGCCGCCTCTGCTACATCTTCTTCATGGATGCCCTGCATTTTGTGGTTAGGCTCTAATTATCTGCACTTGACTGCCACTACTTTCCCCCTTTTCCCCACTCCCACTCACATATACCTATTTTGTATGCCTTTTAAGGCTGAATTATTCAGGACAGGGCAAAGGGAGAAAGAACATTAGTATCTTTGTCATTAGTAGAGCCAAGTCTGGGTCAACTTTGAAAATTTTCAGAGCACACTTTAACTTCTAAGATTTGTGTAAATTAACATATATAATGCATTTACATGGCATTATACCAGCTTTTGCGATTTGCCCTTTATATGTATTTAGCTCTGTATCTTTAGAGTATAACACATTAGTGTATCGCTTAAGTAACCTTTTACAACCTTGTTTATGATAGCTAATAATTGTTTCTGTCTCATGGAATGATTCTGATTGTATTTTTTATTTTTAGGTAAAAAGTTTAGAATGGAAGAACAAAGAAAACCAAGAAAGGGGATTTTCTTTTTTGTTTTCACATTTTAAGAAATATTACTTGCCTTATATTTTCCCAAACATCTGCAAGGAGAATAGTTTATATCATCCTGTACTTGGTAGGTAGTCTGGAATTTTCTAAAAGATCACACATAAGAATAAAATTACCTCAATGTAAAGTTGGCATTTGTTACCTGCAGAAAACTGATAACATTTAATACTTACATTGGTTGTTTAGAGATACTATACCTTGATTCATAGAGAAAGTAGAATTTTATTAATAGGAAAGTTTCACTGAGAGTAAAGAGATTTTTTAAAAAAATGTCTTCTCTGGATCTCACTGATAGGAAAAGTTAACCCACCATAAATATTTGATATTATACATTAAACTTCTGCTATTTGGTATGATCCTTAAACTATATTATAAATTTTCTCTTTAAGGTCCCCCAAGGATTCAATTTAGTATGTCTTATTCAAGTTCTGTATGAATAATGTCGTGTCGTATATTTTGATGATGTCTTGTCCAGTATTTAGTGGCTGTGCCAAAATGGCTGAGCCTTGAAACTAGAGCCTTTCTGACAAATCTTGGTTTAAAAGCAGACCTCTTCCATATATAGAAGCCACTGTCAGTTTGTATGTAGAAATTTTTTTTTTTTTTAGAAAGATGTTCCTATTTTAAGCTTTGCCAAGTTTAGGCAGCTAATAGACATAGGCATAACCATTAAGGCTTGTAGAAAGGGCTTAAATTAGAGTAGCAGATCTTTGCCATTGAGAACAATATTTGCTTTAAAAATATTTTTGCTATAAAAATCAAGGAAAAATTCTCATACTTTGTATTCAAAATTTGTATCTCAGTCATAGGTTAATTGAAGTGAGTTCTCATTAATTTTAAATGGCTCTGGAAGCCTCTCTTTACTTAGACAGGATTCACTGAGCCTTTTAGTGATATTTTGCAAAAAGACATGTTTCCATATATCAGCAATATATGGTTCACTCTTCTAGATTGCATGTTGATATCTAGCAAATTATTTTAAAATGTCATTTTAAATCTTTTAAAACAAGGGTATCATCACAAGGGTGTCATCACATCTCAAATGTTTAAAAATGTAGATTTAGCTAAGCATAATAATTTTCTTATTTTGGTTTTTGTTTTCCTTTTATTTTTCTGTAGATATCCCACAGGTGAGACCAAAGCCACATTATGTTATGATAAAGAAGGATGCCGAAACCAATGAAGCAATCTATTGTACAAAAGAACCTTTCATTAAGGCTCGTGTTATTGTCATTCGTTGGCTGGTTTCTTTCTGGCTTGAGCCAAAGCCCCATACAGGACCTCATATTCCTGGGATGGAAGGTGAAGTCTTGCCAAAGAATATTCAGGTAATACACCACAAAAGGCAAACTTGAAAAATGGCTTAAGAGATATGTCTCCGGATTTCAGTTGCCTTAGATGTAGAACAAACTTAAATGATGGTAATATTTTCTTTGTATAAATGTATTTTGTAAATCCAAATTTTAACAATTATTACAGAATCAGTAGTCTTAATAAAAAAAACTTGGAAGATATAGAAGATAATTCTGGTCATGTATGATTCTCAGCTTCTAATTTATTACTGTATTTTATGTTAACTGCGCTGTACTAGAAATATTCTGAATTGTACACACAAATTCTTGCAGTTGGAAATGATTTGTAATCATAGTTCTTTTTCGATTTCTAAAAAGTCTTGTCTTCCAGGGTGCCTGGCTGGCTTAGTTGGTGGAGCATGCAGCTCTTGATCTTGTGGGTTGTGGGTTCAGGCTCCATGCTGGGTGTAGAAATTACTTAAAAATAAAATCTTAAAAGTCCCCATCTCATTTTCTCTTTTTTTCAGCAAGGGCACTGAGTCTAGAAACGTGATATAAAATTATACCCAGCTATAAAATGGAGGGACTAATATTTAAACTTATGGTATTTTTTTATTAAACAGTTTCCCTGTTTTTCACACTTTTTTTTATCACTTTCTTTTTTCTCAATGTGTGTTTTTTCTGAGCTTATCTCTATTATAGTATTTTTATTTTTTTTATTTTTTTATTTTTTTTTTATTACATAGGTTATGTAATTTGAGCATTAGACACCCAACGAGACTTTACTGAGCACTTCTTCAAATTACATTTTACATATAGGTTGAATATGTAGCTACTTCAGTGATGTTATTCCAAAGGCTCTACTTCAAGGTCAATGTTCCTATTAAACATCACATTACTATAGCTTATTTTTTTATTCCTAAAGTTTTAAAGACTTTTTAGGCTTTAAAATCTTCCAAAGTATCAATCTCTTAAGAATGTTAAGAATACAAGGATACTACTTTTCTATGTTTATTTTTTTTTTCCACGCAGATCTATTATAGTATTTTTAAATAATTTTTATTTTCCTTTTCTCAAACTTGCTTTAGTTTTAAAAATCTTAAACTGTGTGTGTTTTTGTTATGACTTCTTAGATCTTTTACAAATTAAGTGGGGGAATAAAGTGTGTGTTTAGTTAATTAGTATTCAGGAAATATAAAACTTTTATATTTGCTTTCACCTTTTATTTGTAGCCACCTATGGGTATGTTTTCCCTAAAACTTCATTCCAAGGTCTCTACAAATAATTATTAAGTGTAGAAACTCTCAGGCAGAACTATTTTTCATGATCCCAGAACTTAATGCTATAAAACCACAGAGCTTTTGATTGGGAAGGCATATTTGAAATCATTTACTTAAACCCTTTTGTTTTATAGATGACAAAACTGAGACCAAAAATTGAGTAACTTACTAGAAAGTAATTTGCTATACCATGGAATAGCTACTACTGTCATACCATGGTAATAATTTCCTCATCACCAACCTTAAGACTTTTACTTTATCCCTAGGTTGTCTTCATCTTCAGTCATGGTGAAAATTCTTTTTTTATTAAGATTTCATTTGTTTATTTGACAGAGAGAGAGACAGTGAGAGAGGGAACATAAGCAGGGGGAGTAGGAAGGGGAGAAACAGGCTCCCCGCTGAGCAGGGAGCGCAACTGGGATTCAATCCCAGGACCCTGGGATCATGACCTGAGCCGAAGGCAGGCGCTTTTTTTTTTTTTTTTAAAGATTTTATTTATTTATTTGACAGGGACACACCGAGAGAGGGAACACAAGCAGGGGGAGTAGAAGAGGGAGAAGCAGGCTTCCCGCAGATCAGGGAGCCCGATGCGGGGCTCGATCCCAGGACCCTGGGATCATGACCCGAGCCGAAGGCAAACGCTTAACCCGACTGAGCCACCCAGGCACCCAATGGTGAAAATTCATTTAAGAGAATATAGAGTGTTCTCTTGAGTTTTCTTTCTTTCAAGATTTTATGTTTAAGTAATGACTACACTCAATGTGGGGCTCAAACTTAGAACCCCAAGATCAAGAGTCACACTCCATACTGACAGAGCCAGCCAGGTGCCCCATTCTTGAGTTTTCTTGTGTTTTCTTTTGGCTTCCTTTCTACTTCTGTCATAACTTTCTTCCATTCCTTTGTGTTCTTTTGTAACTTGTTTGTACTGTAAACATTCTAAAATCAAATTATAGGTGAATAGATGATTAGTGAGCATCACTATATTACTTAGATGTTGAGTTATTTGCATTGTTACTTAATTATTTAGAATGGATTCTAAGTGAAATCTATGCCCGATTTTAAACAACGGTGTAAGTTATTTGTGGAATGCTGTTAGAAAGCAAAATACCAGGTTGTATGATTATGATATTCTCCCCCTTTTGTTTTTATTGTAGAGAGCAGCTGCTAGTTTGGTATCCAGAGAAGAAAACAAAAATGATAATGCTGATAAAGCAGATAGAACTACAGAACCAGAACAGTCTCATTCCAATACAAGCACTCTCACGGAGCGAGAACCTAGCTCATCCAGTCTCTGCACTATTGATGAGGAACATCTCACAGACATTGAAATAGTTCGCAGAGTTTTTTCTTCTAAAAGAAGTAATGTAAACTTTGTCACAGAGATATTTCGTCAGGTAAAGTACCTCTCAGTAATTTTAATTTGTAATATAGACTATGGTTTTTAATGTTGAATATACTGGCTTTCAGCTATTTAAAATTTTTAATAAAATTTTTTTTAAAGTTTATATTTAATTTTTAAAATTTATTACATCTAATCCTTTAATATTTTTTATTTATATTTTTTAGTTCATGATGATTTTGGTTTAATAACTGTCCACCTCCCCTCATACTCCTTCTGTTATTAGAACAGTTTTCTTACTCACTTTATGGTTTGAAACTATTCTTCCTACCATTTCCTTAGTAAATTATAGTAAAATTATTTTATCTTCCATTCTCTATAATCAATAAAAAGTGGTTTTTGAATAGAAGAAGCAATGTTTTCATTGCCTTTATTCTCCTTCCAGAGGCTGTATTGTCCTCTAAGGCATTCTGAAGTTAAAGTTGCTTAAGGCAGATATTTGGGGACTAAAAGAAATGGAGAGAAAGAAAAAGAATAAAAACTATTTCACATAAAGATAGCTAGAAATTCATAAGTGCACATTCTCATTTACATAGAAATTTTGTGGAAAATAAGCCTTATGAAAACTAATCATTTGCTCTTAATAGCAAGATACTTAACTTTTGCAGGTAAACATCATTGAGTTTTATAGCTAAAGGGGATCATTCAAGTCTCACAGCAAGTAAGTGGTAGATCTGGGACTAAAACTCCCAGATCCTGGTTCCCATGTCAGTGCTGTTTATTCTGTACTACATGCCTTCACTTGCCAGGAAGCTGTCTAGGCAAAGCAAATCTTCACCTTGTACACATGTTTATTGATATGTAAAACAAAGCATGACGCATTAGTTTTGTTAACCTAAGTTAAAAAAACAAACTTGCCTTGTGTTTGTTTCAGCAGCACATATACTAAAATTGGAATGAGACAAAGAAAGTTAGCATGGCCCCTGCATAGGGCCCACTGGCAAATTCATGAAGTGGTCTATATTTTTGTGTTAATGAGTACAAAATGTATACAGTTATATACAAATAGACTCAGTTTCCTACAACCTCAATAAAGTGAATATCACAGTAAAAAAAACAAATTTGCCTTAACATTTTTTCCGGCTTTGACAGTGGTTCTAGTTGCCAAGTTTAAGGTTTGTGTTGATAGAATATTTGACAAATGAGAAAGGAAAGATATTTGGCAAATAATGTTGGAGAACTTTACATGTGGGAGAACTTAAAGCAAACTTTTAGAATTATTAGGGCTTTTGAGTTCTTGAGTCCCTTTGTGTAAGTTTATTTTTTTAGGAATTTGTTCACTGCATTTGTTTTCAAATTTGACAAAAGGTTCATTCCATTCTGTTAGAATCTTTTTAATCTCTGAAGCATTTATATTCTTTTTCTTTTTAAAGATTTTATTTATTTATTTGAGAGAGAGAGAATGAGAGAGAGCACGAGAGGGAAGAGGGTCAGAGGGAGAAGCAGACTCCCCGCCGAGCGGGAGCCGGATGTGGGACTCGATCCGGGGACTCCAGGATCATGACCTGAGCCGAGGGCAGTCGCTTAACCAACTGAGCCACCCAGGCGCCCCTGAAGCATTTATATTCTTGTTCCCTTTTCATTCCTGTTAGTTTTTATTTGTTCCTTCTTTTTTTTCTTGATGATTCTTGCTAGAGATTTGTCATTTTATTAGTCTTTTCAAGAATGAGCTTTTGGCTATTAGTCTTCTCTGTTTTATACTTGTTTTCCTCTTTTGTTAATTTTTTAAAAAAATTTTTTATTGTTATGTTAATCACCATACATTACATCATTAGTTTTTGATGTAGTGTTCCATGATTCATTGTTTGTACATAACACACAATGCACAGTGCTCCACGCAGAACGTGCCCTCCTTAATACCCATCACCAGGCTAA